TATATTAAGGGGGTTCGAAAAGTACCATCAAAGTCATATTATGCATTCTCGCAGTGCTAAAAAATAGTTGGTTGTGGTTTCAAGTTCTATAAACATTTATTTAAGCTTTTAAAGTTTACGACATACAACACTTACGACACCGTTGTGAATCCGCCAATTGTTTGCGCTTTAGCCAAACATTTAAAAATCAAGAATTCAAGCTATATACAACATTTAGAAAAATTCAAAAAATTTTCATTTAAATTTCGAAATTTTCACTCTGAATTTTTTGAACAATTTAAGGTATGGAGTTTTATAGCCCATAATACTTGAGACTAATCAACAATTTGCAGCTAAAAATTCCCGTTGGCAGTTTTTAATTTTTTTGCTGCCAGTATTTTGTGTTTTTTTTTTTCATTTAACAATTGCCATTGATAACAATATGCGTTGATTAAATTTTTTTCGAAGGCTCGAAGTGGGTAATTACATACAAAGAACATTGGAAAGAAATTTCTAATAAAAAGATAACTACGAAAGATAAAACGGAAACGAAAAGTTTTATTTGTTTTTCAAACTAAATAATTCAACAGAAATCTACCAAAATGAGAAAAAATTTACTTTTTTACCAACCCAAATTTATTCTACCAATTTTGGTAACAATTTACCAAAGTGGCAACCTTGGATATAGTGCAAAGCTCTCACTACTCGGCTACCGCGGACGCCAAACTCGCTTGCTTTGTTTACTTACTTTTACAATAGACAACAGGTGCCCCTTTTGGTCAGTCTTGTCATCGAAAATTCCCCTGATCCGCATTAAATTTTAAGTATTAACTGCAGGACCTTATCCGGATCAACTGCAATTAATTCCCGAGATAATTCCGAATTACCAAATTGATCCGGATCAATGCTTTTGTCTATCTATGCTTTAACAGTAATGAGGATGATAGCTGCTCAACTAAAAAATCTTGTGTAACATTAGTTTTCTGGTGCCCTCAGGCAAGTTTAATGTAGTTGGAAATTAAATTTATTAAAAATGCATATTAATTTTTACGCTAAGACCAACAAGTTCTTTGTCAGCTATACTTACGTATGTATATTTCATTTCTGTTTAAATTGCTAATTATTTTTTAATGTTGTTTGTGCACTTTGTGGTAAAATGTCTAATAGCAACGAGATATTTACTTAAATAGCTTTAGTGATATGAAAGTAAGATTTGCCAAAATATATAGAGTATTTAAAATACGGCTGAAAAAACTAACTGTATGTAGGAGTGTTGTTAAACTAACACAGTATAAGTTTAATTAATGACAATTAAAATCTAAAATACATAAATAATTATAATTAGTAATTACACTGCCAAAGATGAAAATTTGTCATCTATTTTAGTAGATGCATATGTACTAGTATGTATGCATGTATACCAAATTTTCAGTGATGTTATGTAGCTGATTTATTTATGTATTTGTTTATGTATATATTTATATATTTATATACGTTTAATATTAAATTTGTTTTTGTTAGTGGTTTTTGAGCGTGTGATGCAATCTAGTAGACTACATAAATATTATATGTATATGTATATATACATACATATGTGCATTAGTACGGAACGAAAACACTATACAGGATACACTGCTGCCACCAGAATTTTAAAAAATTAAAAAAAAAATAAACCCCTATGTTGTCGCTCCGTGTAAGAAAACAGGCGAATATATCAAAACATCTGACGTTTATTCAAATAGTTTAAATTTTCGAAATCAAAGTTACATAAATCGTTTTAATATCTGTAAAATAGATTAAGTTTAATACCATTTTAAATTACATTATTTCCTCTTGTCTTACTTATTCGTCCTCTTACAACAGCTTTACTATGACAATGAGCAAGTTTTCAGTTTATCGAAAACTCTAGAATGCTTCGTTCAATATTAAAATCAGAGTTGCATTTACAGAATTAAAAAGTGCGTACAAATTTTGACACGTTTTTGAACATACAAAAGTAACTGTCGTTTCATTAGTCTTAATCTGCAACACCCTATTTTATTTTTAATCGGTTAATATCACTGGACCACAAATTTCAACTTTTTCTCTTTACCAGAAACGCCGTTATGAAATTCTTATGTAAAATCACCCCCTGATTCCGAAAATCAAGGTTATTTTTATTTTTATGGTACCGTTTTTGAGATATTTGCAATTTACAGTTTTTGCAAAAAAAAAAAAAATTGGGTCCACTTTATCATATATATCTCAAGAACGAATTAAGCAATTCCAAAACGGTTTGAAGCTTTTAAAAGGTAATAAAATTTTCTATAAACTGTGCATACAACACTTTTTGCTAGGCCCTGTAGATTCAAAGATAACGAACAATCATTACCGATTTTTTCAATTTTTTTTGTAAAAATATAAAAAAAATTGTACTTTGCGGGGAAGGATCTCGAAAACCTTTTATTTTT